GGCCTTGGCCGGCGAGCGGCGGGCTGGGGAGCGGTGTAGCCGGCGTCCCCGGCCGCGCCGAGCGTCTCCTCCGCCACGCGCTCCTCCTGCGAGCCGGCCTGGGATGCTTCACGCTCCTGGGCCCCAGCGCGCTGCCTCTGGAGGCGTGCGGTCCGGTAGCTCTGGTCTGTCGGGACAGCAGGCCGCTGCCTGACTCGGCGCCCTCAGTCGAGCGAGTCTTTCCAGGTACAAGAAGCTTGAGGACCTTCTGGAGAAAAGCTTTTCTCTGGTCAGGATGCCGTCTCTGCAGCCCGTGGTGATGTGCGTCATGAAGCACCTGCCCAAGGTAACAGCTGCGGGGCCAACGTGTCTGTGGCGCTGCCTGGGGTAGACCAGCCTGGCCACACACCCTTGGTCTGCAGAAGTTGCAGCTTATGCTTGGGCCACTTCCCTCCAGGAGGTCTGATGTGCTGCCCGCCCGGCGCTGCTCTGTGGCACCTTCTCTCTGCTGTTCTCTCCCACAGGAGCCTTGTGGATGGAAACTTAGCACGTGGGTGGGTGGGGACCCTTTCTGGAAAAGAGCTGTTGTTAGTCAGCATGTCTCATGTGCCCCTTGGGTAGGTCTTGGCCTCTTTCTAGTCTCGAGGAAGACCTCGGGACACAGCGCCACAGTGCCACTCATGGATGGCCTGTGCTGTCACACAGGTTCCGGAGAAGAAGCTGAAGCTGGTGATGGCTGACAAGGAGCTGTACCGCGCCTGTGCCGTGGAGGTGAAGCGGCAGATCTGGCAGGACAACCAGGCGCTATTCGGGGACGAGGTCTCCCCGCTGCTGAAGCAGTACATTCTGGAGAAGGAGGGCGCGCTCTTCAGTTCTGAGCTCTCGGTGCTGCACAACTTCTTCAGCCCTTCCCCTAAGACCCGGCGCCAGGGCGAGGTGAGGGGGCAGCCCATGGCACGCGGGGAGCCTCGGAGGCCCTGGGGTCAACTCCCTGCTCCCTTGTGAGCGTTGTTCTTCCCCAGGGGCTAGGTTTATATGTGGGGGTGGAAAGGATGTTGTTGTAGTGGTCGTGTGTATCTTGTTTTTCCACAAAATGGCTTGTGAACGGCATTGGAGCTACAGAAAGGCCTTTCGTGAAAAGTGGCAGCCCCCCTTCTAAAAAGCAAGCTCTCTTTGCTCCTTGCACTTGCAAGTAATTAGATAGTTTGTCAGTATGGTCAGGGTTTGAGTTATTCCTTTTCTGTCTTTATCAGACGTTCAAGGCTGTACCTGTTGTTATCATTGGAATTACTTTAAGCTTAAATTTATGGTAACTGGCTTTTTTTCCCAAACCTATTAATTAGTTAACTTCAGACTAACTGTTCAGTAGGAAGATAAAGCGAGGTAGCGAAACGTCTCAGTGTCCACTTAAGAAAAAACGGAGGCTGGGCCTAGTGGCTCATGCCTGTCATCCCAGCACTTTGGGAGACTGAGGCAGGAGGATTGCTTGAGCTCAGCAGTTTGAGGCCAGCCTGGGCAACGTAGCAAGATCCCATTTCTTAAAAAAAAAAAAAAAAATAGGAGCTCAACCTGCCACCATCAGACAGGCGCCAGCATTTCAAAAAAGAGGAGGAAGCGTTTTATGCCAAAACAGTACAGAGGAGAGACGTGTGGACTCTGACGTCTGTGCCCGGCCACGCCGGCCTCGCCACCAGGTGGTGCAGCGACTGACACAGATGGTGGGGAAGAATGTGAAGCTCTACGACATGGTGCTGCAGTTCCTGCGCACACTCTTCCTGCGTACACGCAACGTGCACTACTGCACGCTGCGGGCCGAGCTGCTCATGTCCCTGCACGACCTGGACGTGGGTGACATCTGCACTGTGGACCCCTGCCACAAGGTAGCACCGCCCTGACACCTCCTCTCCCCTGGGTGTGGCTGTCCACTCCCAGCCTGTTTCCCGGGTGCTGTCTGCTTGTCCTGCTGGGCACCGGCCCCTCAGCGCCCCGCAGACGTGACTGAGGGAGGAGGACTGTCCCCAGGATGTCCTCACTCACCCCTTGGCCCAGGACCTTTGCCTGGCCTCCTCCCCTTCCGGCCCGTCTCTGGCCCTTCTCCGCTGGAGCCCTTGTGGTTGCTTGCTAGCCAGGTCCTGGCTGCTCGAGGACCAGGGGCTACCCTGTGTATCCCAGCACGGGCCCCGCTGTCAGAGCCCATCTCCTGGGGATGACGGGGTCACGGTCTGCGTCTTCATTGGAGCACCACTGGGGCCACCCCCACACCAGGGTGCTGTGAGGCAGTCCCTTTACAGAACAAGCAAATGGTGCCTCCTCCACCCCCGTCCTACCCTGCTGCTTAACCCCGAGCTGTGGGACACCCTGAGCGTCAGCATGACAGCAGCCTAGGTGCTGGGTTGCCCTGGCCGTAGCGGCTGGGCCGGCATGGGAGGCCAGGGCCTGGGCTGCCTCGAGGGCTGGGTCTCCGGCCATGCTGTCGGGCCAGCCACATCCTGACCACGCTTCCGTTCTGCAGTTCACCTGGTGCCTGGATGCCTGCATCCGAGAGCGGTTTGTGGACAGCAAGCGAGCGCGGGAGCTGCAGGGCTTCCTGGACGGCGTGAAGAAGGGCCAGGAGCAGGTCCTGGGGTGAGGATGCGCCACCCGCAGGCCCGTGGCCCACCCTGGGGAGCTGGCGTGTTCCAGGGTTGCAGGAGAGCTGTGGCCCAGGCGTGCAGTTGCTGGGCTGGGTCTGGGGAGCGAGGGCCCCTCCTGTCTCTGCACGTCCTGGGGGCCAGGCCCAGGTAGGAGCTGTGGGTCTGCGGCAGTGGGCCCGCTGCCCTCGGGTGGGTGTGGCTCGGCCGAGGTCTGCACCGTGGCAGCCGTTGGGCTGGGCGTCCTGTGGCCAGCCAGTGGACCTGGGTGCTGTCGCCTGCGGCCTGTCCTTGTTAGAAGGTTTCTGGGGGACCCTGGCTGAAGAGCATCTGGGTGAGGTTTTCAGAACCCAAGCGTGCCCCAGGTTTTTATCTTTGACTTCCCGACACTTTAGTTTGAAGGATCTTGAGTAAGGAGCAGTCCTGAGTCTTAAGCTCTTCCTCAAGAAACTCGGCACGAACCGGGCCTGCTTTGTGTGGAGAGAGGCTGGTTTTCAGGGCCAGGTCCCTGAGGGTCCGCAGCTGACAGGAGGGCGGCCAGGCTTCCCCAGCTGAGCCCGGCTGCTTCCTGGCAGGGACCTGTCCATGATCCTGTGCGACCCCTTCGCCATCAACACGCTGTCGCTGAGCACCATCCGGCACCTGCAGGAGCTGGTCGGCCAGGAGACGCTGCCCAGGGTGAGCGCGGCCTGGGGCACGGTGGGCGGCAGACACGGCTTGCTGCCGCAGCGCCACACGAGGCAGGTGCCCCGTGCGAGGTTGGTTTCAGCGGCAGGCAGTGGTGTGTGGAGGCCAGGATCACGGTCCCGGGTCCTGGCCTTGGGCACCAGAGGCCCGACCAGGCGGTCAGCAGCGGTCTGTATGGCCCCGGCCCCAGGAACCTGGCGGGCAGAGGCGCTGAGGTCTGTGTGTCCGCAGGACAGCCCTGACCTCCTCCTGCTGCTGCGGCTGCTGGCACTGGGCCAAGGCGCCTGGGACATGATCGACAGCCAGGTCTTCAAGGAGCCCAAGATGGTGAGAGCCTGGGCAGGGCCCCTTCCCTGGGGACCGCTGGGGGTGACCCCGCCTTCCCTGGGAGCTGTGGGAGACCCCGCCTGCCTTGGGCTTCCCTGGGGGTGGGCCTGCGGGCAGGTGGGGCAGGTGCGGTGGCGCTCGCCCTGTGGTCCCAGTGTGTCCTTCCTGGGGCGCCCGCCAGGATATCTGGGTGTGCTGTGCACCGTGGCTCCTGGGGAGTGGCTGCTCCACGTGCACCCGGGCCCTAGAGGGACTGGGGAGACGGCCCGGCCAGGGCTCTTGGAAGTGGGTGGGGCACTGGCGCCAGAGAGCTGGCGGTGCATCTGCCGGGGTCTGCTCACGCCCGCCCGCAGGAGGTGGAGCTCGTCACCAGGTTCCTGCCGATGCTCATGTCCTTCGTGGTGGATGACTACACCTTCAGCGTGGACCAGAAGCTCCCGGCCGAGGAGAAGGCCCCGGCCACCTATCCCAGCACGCTCCCCGAGAGCTTCACCAAGTGCGGCTGGGCGGCGGGCGGGCGGCGGGGGCGGGCGGCGGGGCGGGCTGACTCTGGCGCTCAGGTTCCTGCAGGAGCAGCGCATGGCGTGCGAGGTGGGGCTCTACTACGTGCTGCACATCACCAAGCAGCGGAACAAGAACGCGCTGCTCCGCCTGCTGCCTGGGCTTGGTGAGTCCCGTCGGCTCCACCCGGGCGCCCGCTGCGGGCTCCGTGCTTCCCCTGGCCGCTGCCCTGGGTTGCTGAGTCCCAAGCCCGCATCCCTGGGTGCTGGGCCAAAGCTCTGCTGGCGGCCACCTGGCTTCTCCAGCACCTCCCATGCGGCACCTGCTCCCCTCCCTTCCCGCCGCCTTCCTCCTCCTCCCTCCCCCCCCCTGCCTCCCTCCCCCCTCCGCCCCCGCCCCCGGGCCCTTCTCCTCCCTGCCAGACCCTGAGCACCTCCGGAGGGCGGGGGCTGCCTGGGGGGGCTCCCGGGGAGCGGGCGGGCTGGGCTGACCCTGGCTGTGCCCGCAGTGGAGACCTTCGGCGACCTGGCCTTCGGTGACATCTTCCTGCACCTGCTCACGGGGAACCTGGCCCTGCTGGCTGACGAGTTTGCCCTCGAGGACTTCTGCAGCAGCCTCTTCGACGGCTTCCTCCTCACTGCCTCACCCAGGTAGTCCTCTCTGCGCTCGGCTTGTCCGCGTGGGGGTGGCTGGTGTCCCCGCACTGGGGCTGCGGCTGCAGGTGGTTCTGTGGGGTCACGGGGCTGGACTCTGCCCAGCAGGGACACCCGGGCATGGCTGCTGGTGTCCTGGCTCTGGGCTGTGCCTGGCAGGTGGGCTGGGCCGGGGAGGGGCCTGGCCGCCCCGCTGCAGCCCCCGCCTCTTCCAGGAAGGAGAACGTCCAGCGACACGTGCTACGGCTGCTGTTGCACCTGCACCCCAGGGTGGCCCCCTCTAAGCTGGAGGCCTTGCAGAAGGCTCTGGAACCCACGGGCCAGGTAGGTGCCTGCCGTGGGCTGCCGCGCGCATGGGAGTGGATCGCTGGGCCCTGGGGCGTCGGGGCGGCCCCTGACTGTGGGCTCCCTGCAGAGCGGAGAGGCGGTGAAGGAGCTCTACTCGCAGCTGGGCTTGAAGCTGGAGCAGCTGGACCAGCAGAAGCCCAGCCCTGCCCAGGCCCCTGAGACGCCGGCCCTGGAGCTGCCCCTCCCCAGCGGGCCCACCTCAGCTGCACTCTGATGGGAGTGGGCTGCTGGGGGGTCCTTCTCAGCCAGGGCGGCCTGTGCCGGCTGAGCGGACTGTCCCACCTCAGACTGGCGGGAGCCAGTGGCCTAGGATGTCGTGTGGCCCCGAGGTGGCACCTTCTCGGCCGCATGGGGTCCCGAGGAGTACGGCCCCTCCATGCGCCTCACAGCTGGAACGTACATTCGGCCTTGCCTGCACTGGCGTCCTCATGGCGTGCAGACGGCCGCAGACGGGATTAGGAAGACCCAGCTGTTGCCCAGGGGAATCGACGAGGCCTCGCTGCCGGTGCGCGGAGCGGGCCGGGCCGCTGCGTTGACCTGGCTTGCGGCTGGCGGCCGCCGGATTCCGGCCTGTGTCGGAAGGACGGTCCCCAGGCCCGTGTGGGGCCAGCACATCCCACAGCCCCGGGCGTGGGCGTGACCAGAGAAGGCGCAGGCAGTCACCTGCTTCCTTTCTCACCCTTAGAGCTGAGTGCTCCTCCTTGCTCAGCGGACCGTCTCCGCCCTCTGCCGTGTGGGGACAACTGGTGCCCGCGGTGAGATGTCACTTTTGTAAATAAAAGGCGTTTTGGTAGACGCAGCTGAGGTCTCTGCCCGCCCAGGGTTGGGTGCAGCTCGGCACGCTCATCTCGCAGGCAGGATTGGTACGTGGGCTTTGTGGCCACAGCCTCTCGACTGCCCCGCCCTGCCCGGCACGGCAGCCGTGGCGCTGGCTCACGGGAGGCTGGCGGGAAGCGTCTCCCCAGGGCCTGGCGGGCCCTCGACGCCCTGAGACGCAGACAGTCGTGTCTGTCCTGGGAATCCAGGTGAGCGGCACGTACAAGCGTCACCAGCACCGGGGGGATGAGCCCAAGGTCATGGGCGGTGTCGGAGCTGCCCTGAGCAGATGGGTTTCCGCAGCTGGTGGCAGCTCAGTGTTGTTTCCCTGGTGGCCTGCGGGAGGTAAGCCCTGGCCGCTGGACATCGGTGTCCTCAAGGATGCCTGTCGCTAGCTCAGCCGCCATGGAACGTGGGCCAGACAGCACAGCGCAGGGCCTGCCAGGCTGAGGAGAGTCTGCCTGCAGTGGTGGGGCCGGTGGCAGGGAGGCCTCCGAGCCCGTGTCCCACTTCTCCACCCAAGAAAAGCCGGGGTTCCTGGGGCTCTGCGCCGCCCACGAAGGCCCTCGTGGCACTACCAGAGATAGCTCCAGCTTGCCCTATCCCAGGGCCACGGAGGGCGAATAGCGAAGTCCCAGGCTCAGAGCCAGTGGGAGCTGGGGCACAGACGGGCACCTGCCCAAGTGCCGGCGGAGGCGTGTGGGTTGGGTGTGGCTTGAAGGCAGACAGTGGGACTTCCAGACGGATGGGCGTGCAGGGCTCAGGAGTCAGCGGGCCCAGGGCTCCGACCCTCCCTGTGGGACGTCAGGGCTGGGGGCTGTGGAGTGCAGATGTCCTGCAACAGAGACATGTGCCACGGACTTGGGGGTCTGGAGTTCGAGGAGGTTGCGGCCAGGGTGTGGGTTGACGTCAGCCACAGCGTTTGACAGGACCAGAGCGGGTCGCCCCAGGTGTGTGCTGGGTGGAGCACCAGGCAGGGGTGGGTGCTGGGGGTGGGTGCTCCTGCAGCCCAGGGCAAGATGCTGCCGGGGCCAGTCTGCGCAGAGGTCACCGGGGCCTGGCCGGAGCAGGTCTGCAGGCACGTGGGGCGGGATGGCGCGTAGCAGCCCGGGCATGGGGGCAGGAGCACGCCTCGTGTTTAAAGGAGGAGGAAACATGGTTCTGGCTGATGGAAATGCCCCCATAGAGCGGAAAGTGGACAGCGGAGGCCCCGAGGTTGTGGTCTCAGTGGACAGGCCCGTGTGGATGGGCTGCTCCATGCCGTTTAAGAAGAAGGTCCTGCGGAGGGTGCCTCAGGGACCCAGGACCGGCGGGTGGGGGCACAGAGACCGAGGACCCAGGAGCTGGTGGTGGCTGGCAGGCGTGAGCTGCGGGAACCTGGTGAGATGTGGAGTGGACACCGGAGGAGGCCGAGGTGTGAAGCAGCCTTGTGGATGGGATGGCCACCAGCTGGACAGCTCATGACCAGCATCTCCTGTCAGGGGCTTGGGCAGGAGGGCCGGGGGAGGTCTGGCGGGGGGCGGCCAGCCTGCCTCCGGGGTCCTCCCTGTGTGGGGCCTCCCTGCGTCAGCCCTGCGACTGGAGGAAGCCTGAGGCCTTGAAGGGCCGACCTCCATGTGAGACCAGAGATAGCTAGAGAAAGGCTGGGCAGACAGGCAAGTCCTCTGGTAACGATGTAGCGAACTCCCCGCCGGCCTCTCAGGCTCTGCGGTGGTAAACGAGCTCCCTGCAAGTCTTTCAAGCTAGAGCCAAAGTCCTCACTGCTGGGATTGAAAAGCAAAAATCAGAACAGCAACAGCTCACAGCTAGTACTAACCAATCAGCTTGGACTTGGGGCTATATGAGCACCAGGTTTTGGACCCAGATGGGCAACCCCTGGGGCCCTCTCCCACTGTAGGAGTGTCTCTGTTCTCAGTAAATCCTGCTTCCTCACTTGCCGGCTGTCCGTGTCCTTCATTCTTCCTGGGCACGAGACAAGAACCTCGACCCTGAAGAGCTGCACAAGATCGTCGGAGCCGAAGCATCGTGCCCCCGAGGCTGGCTTGCCCGCCACCAGAGCCAGCCACCAGGGCCCCTGAGACTCACGTGGGTGTGTGTCCCACTTCTAGAACTTGTGTCCCAGTGTGTGTTGCCCTGCGGGCGGGGCTCCAGGCTGGGGACAGGGAGGTGGGCCCTCAGGGTGGACGGAGGAATGGGGCCCCCGGATGGGGTCAAGGGCGGGGAAGGGGTGCAGAACAAGGAGAGCTGCTGGAGGGAGGCGAGACGCCAAAGCTGAGACACCTCAGGAGCTAGGCTTGCCAGCCCACCAAACCAGCAACACTCTCAGGGCTTGGCTTGCCAGCCCATTAGAGCCAACACTGCAGGGGCTGGGCTTGCCAGCCCACCGAGTCACATTCAGGGCTTGGTTTGCCAGCCCACTACAGCTGACACTTCGGGGCTAGGCTTACCAGCCCTGCCACGATCCTCTCTGGGGCTTGGCTGGCCGACCCGTTCAGCTGATACCCTCGAAGCCCAGGCTGGCCTGAAAAATCTGCATCACCTGCGGGGACACAGGCCCTGGACAGATATGGAGGCTTGGACGTGGGCGGTAAGTGTACCTGCCTTCCGTGTTGGGGGCGGCCCCCGAGGCCCAGGAATTGGGGATTGAGGGCCCAGGCAATGGCCCTGCACATGGGAGGCACGGGTCCCTGGACACCAGGCCTGGCTCCCGGAGGGGAGCTGACACGGGCCCCACATTCCGGAGAGATTGGGAGCCCCAGCCCATGACCAGCATCTGCAGGACGCGGGTCGCACTGGGTGGGCACAGGGAGGTGAGGGGCAGGGCCTGGAGGAGGCGGTGGGCACAGGGCCCGGGGGGGCGGCACAGGCCTGCTTGGCGGGAACGGCCACCCCGTGTCTCCTTGGGTGGCGGCTTCCACGCAGGCCCCCCAGTGCCCAGGTGGACATGGAGGTGGGCCGGGGCCCCTCTTCTGGCCAAGCTCTTCCCGAATCGGCTCCCTGGAGGGCCCCTGAGACACACGTGGGTGTGTGTCCCACTTCTAGAACTTGTGTCCCAGTGTGTGTTGCCCTGTGGGCACAGGGACAAGGAGGCGGGCCCTCCGGGTGGAGGGAGGAATGGGGCCCCCAGATGGGGTCAAGGGCGGGGAAGGGGTGCAGAACAAGAGAGGGATGGGGCCTCTGCCTGACCCTCAGTCCTGTTCCCTACCCCACTTTTACAGAAGCCCCCACCCTCACTGCCAGAGGCCCTGCAGCTGCAGCGGTCAGGTGGAGGGGGAAATGTCCTGGGAGGTGGGGTCCGGAGGAGGAGGGGCCGTCCCGGGAGGTGTGGTCCAGGGGGTGGAGAAAGGGATGTCCTGGAAGGTGGGGCCCACGGAAGAGGAAACATCCTGGGAGCTGGGGTCCAGGTGGTGGGGACATCCCAGGAGGTGGGGTCCGGATGGGGAGGGGACATCCTGGGAGGTGAAGTCCGGGGGGTGGGATGTCCCAGAGTCTGGGCAGGAGAAGGGCCGTCCCGGGAGGTGGTCTGGATGGGGAAGGGGTAGTCTCGGTAGGTGGGGTCCGGGGGGGGGGGCCGTCCTGGGAGGTAGGGTCCGTTAGGATGGGCTGACAAGCAAACAGCCCAGGGTTGGGGGGCTGTCTGAGGGGCCCTCAGTCCCCGGGTGTCCTGACCGTGACGGAGCCATGAGCGCAGAGGGAGGAGGCGGGCTGCTGTCAGGGCCTCCCGGCTGGCCGGCCAGGCCTCCCCCTCTGGGGCCTCCGTCCAGCCCAAGCCCCGCCCACGCCGCGCCCCCTGACTCACTTCCTTTGCACAGAAGCGGAAACCTCCCCGTGAGCTTCCTCCGCTGGGACCGAGGCTCCCTGGGGACCCACAGGTGGTGCTGACCCCTCTGGGCCTGGGCTGTCCCAGGAGGCTGACCCAGCCCCACACCCCTGGAGGCGGAATTTCCTGCTTCCCGAGCTGCTGGCCCCAGCGCCTGGGGGCAGTGGAGTGGGGGGCGCCGGACCAGCTGCAGGTAGCAGGGTGGGCAGGGGCCAGGGGCCCAGGCCAGGTCCCCCGTCCCCCCATCAGCCTCTCTGTCCTTCCCTCCCGGGTTCTTCTGTGCGTCTTTCACCCCATTCCCACCAGTCTCTGCGGGGGCTCCCCGAAGGACCCGTTTTGGGGTGGGGGCGGGGAGGCCTGGGCGGAGCCGGGGGTCAGGGCGGGCCGTTCTCCAGTCTTAAGTTCGGGCCTGGTACTCCCCAAGTGTTTCCGAGTGTGGGGGCGGCTCTGATCTCCCTAGGGTCTCGGCCCCGCTTCCCGCGCCCGCCTCTGCACGCGGTGGGTCCCTGGCAGCACGGTCCAGCGGAGCCACGGGCGGGACAGGGTCCGGCTTGACCCCTCGGCCTCGCTGCTCGGAGCCCGGTGGGCCACGGACTCCCTCAACTCCTCCTCCAGGAAGCCAGGGCGGCTGCCAGATAAGCCGCACGGCCGGCCGCCGCCACTTCCCCAAGGCCCGGCCGTTTATGGGAGGACCAGAGAGATTTGCATTGGGGCCCCGCGGAGGAGTCGCTTCCTGGTCCGCAGGGCGAGGCCGGGACCCGGC